GATGTCAGTGATTCCTGATGGGGAGACTTAGTGAACACAGTCTCTTTCCGAAGATCTGGGGTGAGATAGGTCTTAGAAATGGCATCAAAGGTGGCCTTGGTGAAGTTGCCCAGGGTGGCAATGCAGCCCCTGGCGGAGGTATAGCAGTTGTCAATACCAGGCATCATCAGTAACTTTGTAGGCACAGGGGTCGAGGCAGTGCCATAGCCCTGAGGGCAGGGATGAGGCGCACCAGCACAGATCCTCAGCAGCCAGTCACCTTGCAAGGAGCAGTGTGGGCTTGCTGACCCTCTTTCCCAGGAGCCTGCCGCAGGGGGACAATAGAGCTTGGCCAGCGTAATGGCTCCATGGATGGCAGTGGCTACTTCCTTTGAGCACTTAACACCCAGACCAACAGGTCCATGTGCAACCAATGGCAACTAATGACTTGAACCGGGTCCTCTGGCCAGCACGCCTCTGCTTTTGCATAGGCACAATTTTTAAGGCCTTATCCTTGAAGGATACCCCCAAGAAAAAGTCAGCGATCTGATTCCTTGACAGGCAAGGAGAATAGAGAGATTTCCTCTAGGGATTTGATCTTCATGTCCTTGACCAGGCAGCCCAGCTTGGTGGCAGGGATCCACGCCTTGCCTCTGCGACCTTCACGGCCTTGGCCCCTGCCCCGACCCCGGCTGCGATCTGGGCCCCGATGCCGCTGCCAAATCCTCCCTGGAAGCTCCGACCTCCTGTTCCCGGGCCTCCCGCAGCACCGCGCTGTGCGCCATTTGGTGTTTTGTTGGAAAACTGAATTTGAGTTTTCCCATTAAACTTCCTTCCTGGTTCTAATTGAGATAATGAAAAGGTATAGATTTTTCTAACATTTCTCCATCACCAAAATGATGCCAATTTGCCATCAATTCCTATTCCCACCCCAGCCGTAGGCAGTCATTTCTTAAGTGGAGTCATTCAAGATGCAGTTTTTGTGTCAGATTTCCTTGACCTAGCATCATGTTTTCAACGTCTGTCTTAAATGTATTAGTAATTTGTTCCTCTTTCTTGTTGAATGGTATTTAATTGTATGGCTATGCAACATTTTGTTCATCTGTTCACCAGGTGGATTTATGGATTAATACCACTTTTTGGCTATTGCCAATACTGTCCACTTTTTGCCAGTGGGCAGATGATTCTTTAGGATAAGCATACACAAGAGTAATTTAAAAAAAATTAAATCCTCACCTAAAGCTATTTAATTGATGAGAGAGAGAGAGAGAGAGAGAGAGAGAGAGAGAGAGAGCGCGCGCGCGCGCGCACTCGCGCGCGAGAGCGCATCAACCCATTGCTTCTTGTACACACCCCGGAACCCACAACCTGAGTAGGTGCCCTGACCAGGATTCAAACCTGACACCTTTGGGCAGGGGTCCTCAAACTTTTTAAAGTGGGGGCCAGATCACGGTCCCTCAGAGAGCTGGAGGGCCGGACTATATGAACTACTAATTCCTACTGTAACACCTCGGCTGCGCTCACTGCCCAAAAAACCTGGCGGGCCGCATGTGGCCCGCGGGCCGTAGTTTGAAGACGCCTGCGGCTTTGGGTGTGTTTATAGGATGACACTCCAACTGAGCAACACTGGCCAGCTGGAGTGAGTGATTTTGACTTTTCCGTTGTTATCATAAACTTAGTGTTTCAGTTTGCCCTTTTGTAAAACTAATGGTTTAATGAATATTATGTAAGTGACCTTACCCAGTTCTGTTTCCTTATCTGCAAAGTAGGGATATTTATAGCTGTGGTATGTGGCTCTAGGTGTTGTTGTGAGGGTTAAATAAGATAAAAAGGGAATACAGCCGAAACCGGTTTGGCTCAGTGGATAGAGCGTCAGCCTGCGGACTGAAAGGTCCCGGGTTCGATTCCGGTCAAGGGCATGTACCTTGGTTGCGGGCACATCCCCAGTAGGGGGTGTGCAAGAGGCAGCTGATCGATGACTCTCCCTCATCGATGTTTCTAACTCTCTATCCCTCTCTCTTCCTCTCTGTAAAAAATCAATAACATATATTAAAAAAAGAAAGGGGGGGGGGGAATACAGCAAGATAACAGTTGCTTTTCGCCTTTGCGGTCTCTGGGAAAGGGGTGGGGATGAGAAAAGCTTATGGAATCCCCCTGCTCTGGGCAGATTGGAGGGAACAAAGGCCTGGGCCCGGGGGGTTGGAGGCTGAGGAGCTCTGCTGCTGGAGGACTCGGACTGGGCCTTGGGGAAGGGGAGTAGGAGGCCTGGAGCCCACAGGGGCGGGCTGTACTGCTGGCTGCTGGGCTGCAGTAAGAGGATGGACAGGTCAGCTGGAAGCATGCAGGCATGTTTGAAAGGCCTCGTGGGAAATCGGATCTTTGTTTAATCCCTTGGCCAGCTGTGGATGTTTTGGTGCCTGATCTCATGTTTATAAGCTCCATGGGAATGAGAGAGGTTTCAGAGTTTAAGGTCTTTGCTGTATTTAACCCACGATGTTTTTCCTTTGGGCTCCTTAGCTCTTTAAAATTTATTCAATAAGCTGCCAGGGATTAAAATCTGGAGATGTGGCCACACTCGCCTTCATCCCCATACGGAGTCACGTGACCCGAGCTTTGAGAGGGTCCAGGTGCCCACGGTCCCCTGCTCCCTTCGACTGCTGGTCTCCTTGCTTGGGCTGCGGCCGCCATTGGTCCAGAGCAGTGCTGTCCACCGGGAGCTGCGAGCCTCCTGTGGCTGAGTTCAGGTGGTGACATTAAGTACAGTTTAGTTCTGCGTCCTCTCATGCTAGCCACGCTGCAGTTGCTCCGTAGCAGGTGGCTGCTGTGGGGACAGTGCAGCTTCTGCACACTGTCACTCTCAGCGCGATTGCGCTGGTCTAGACCTTACCCCCTGCTTTAAAGGAGGCCTGAACATTCTCTTAAAAACTTAAAACAGCCGAAACCTGTTTTGCTCAGTGGATAGAGCGTTGGCCTGTGGACTGAAGGGTCCCAGGTTCGATTCCAGTGAAGGGCATGTACCTTGGTTTCGGGCACATCCTCAGTAGGGGTTGGGCAGGAGGCAGCTGATTGAAGCTTCTCTCTAATTGCTGTTTCTAGCTCTATCCATCTTCCTCTCTGTAAAAAAATCAATAAAATATATATTAAAAAAAACAAACTTTTTTCCAAATGCAATATTATATACACACACACACACACACACACACACACATTTCAAAATATATTTTTATTGATTTCAGAGAGGAAGAGGAAGGGAGAGAGAGAGAAACATCAGCGATGAACCGAAACCGGTTTGGCTCAGCGGTAGAGCGTTGGCCTGCGGACTGAAGGGTCCCAGGTTCAATTCCGGTCAAGGGCATGTACCTGGGTTGCGGCCACGTTCCCAGAAGGGGGTGTGCAAGAGGCAGCTGGTCGATGTTTCTCTCTCATCGACGTTTCTAGCTCTCTATCTCTCTCCCTTCCTCTCTGTGAAAAAAAAGAAAGAAAAAAAAAGAAACACCAGTGATGAGAAAATCGTTGATAGGCTGCCTTCTGCACACTGGGGATCGAGCCTGCAACCCAGGCATGTGCCCTGACCCGGAATCGAATCAGTGGCCTCCTGGTTCATAGGTCGATGCTCAGTCATGAGCCACCCGGCCAGGCAACAATATTATATTAGTTTCAGGTGTACAACATAACATAGTAATTAGACACTTACATAATTTAGGAAGTGATTAGCCCAGTAAGTCTAGTGCCCATCTGACATTATACATAGTTATTACAGAATTATTGACTATATTTTTTTTTTTTAAAAAATACATATTTTTATTGATATCAGAGAGGAAGGGAGAGGGAGAGAGAGATAGAAACATCAATGATGAGAGAGAATCGCCAATCGACTGCCTCCTGCACACTCCACATGGGGGATCAAGCCTGCAACCCAGGCATATGCCCCAACCAGGAATCTAACCTCATCTCCTGGTTCATAAATTGACACTCACCCACTGAGCCACGCTGGTCAGGCTGACTGTATTTCCTGTGTTGTACTTTACATCCCCGTGATAGTTTTATAAATGGCAATTTATTTCTTCTTCACCTTTATCCCTTCACCTTTTTCACTCATCCCCTCTACCTCTCTCTCATCTGGCAACCATCAGTTTGTTCTCCGTATATATGAGTTTGTTTCCATTTTGTTTATTAGGTTTTACAAAATAAGTGAAATCATTTGTCTTTTTGACTTATTTCAGTTAGCATAATACACTCTAGATCAGTGTTTCCCAAACTTTTGACATATGTGTACCCCTTCTATAATTTTCGTAACGCTGAGTACCCCTCGTACTCATGAGAACGTCGAATTAGGCGCAGCTAAGCACGGTGCAGTGCATATCCCCACCAAACTCCGGTGCAACGCGTACCCCCACCAAAATCTTCCCGTACCCCTGGGGGTACGCGTACCGCACTTTGGGAAACACTGGTCTAATACATGATGTTGAAGTACAAAGGCATATTTGCATATTTTGAAGTGAACATGCAGCCTACAAACTGGGTTAAGTATAAGAAAGTACCAGTTTGGCTCAATGGACCCGTCAGCCTGCGGACTGAAGGGTCCCAGGTTCGATTCCGGTCAAGGGCATGTAATGTGGTTGCGGATGTGCAAGAGGCAGCAGATCGATGAGTCTCTCTCATCGATGTTTCTAACTCTATCCCTCTCTCTTCCTCTCTGTAAAAAATCTAAATATATTAAAAAAACGTAAAACATACTGAAATTTGAGATGCCAACTAAAATAGACTGAGAGAGAGCAGCCTCACAGATGGGGGGATGTTTTAGGGCTGGTGTGGTGGTGGAGGGGGTTGAACAAAAAAGAAACACCCACAGGTGGGACATGCCACCTCAAATTAAATGAAAAGGAAAGGTTGAAAGAGTCCCCTTGTTGAGAGGTGCCTGGTTAGTGTGGCCAGCAGATGGCGCGTGCGGCAGTGCTACAGCAGGGGAGGTACTAGGTCGCAGTGTGTCTTTAACAGGCCAGTTGTAAAGCGGGTTTGTAAGTTCCAAAAATTGCACCGAGGCCAGGCAGAGCCCGCCTGATGCGTATGTGTTGTTCAGGCGTTAGCAGTACTGCCCTCACTACACGTTCATTGGACAGTAGCGCAACCCCAAGAAAAGGATGGTTGCTAGGACTTATGGGTTGCGCCGCTAGCAGTGCTGGCCAATACCTGATAGGGTTGTGGTGACTGACATGCAAGTCCCGGCCTCGCCGCGTGTTAGTAGTGCACGCGAGTTGACTACAACTCCCGAACAAACTACCAACTCCTTGTTTTCTGAGGCTTTTGCGGGAGCAAAGCGGCAGCTCGGTTTTACCCAGAAGGCCACGCGCGATAATTTGCATGTGCGCCTCGCTGGGGCGGGGCCGGCAAGGGGCGGAGCTGCGTCCTATTCTTCCTATTCTCCCACTCTCGGCTCCCGGGACCTGTAGCTAGCCAGGCTGGAGCAGCTTTTTGGTTCCTTTTGAAACGGAGCGGCTCTGTTTGTACAAGGGCAGCCCTCCTCTTGGTGACCAGTGTAATCCTGCCCGTCGGCACGCGCTCTCGGGGCCCCGGGTCAGCGCTTGAGCCAGAAATGTGCGGGCGCCCTGGCAGCTGCGGGGCGAGGGCCCAGGCCTGGGGCCGGCTGCTCACGGCGTTTCCCATTCATTGCAGGTGGCTCTCCTGGGCATGGACATCCTATCCGCGCTAGTCACCCGGCTGCAGGATCGGTTCAAGGCTCAGATCGGCACAGGTGAGCTGTGGGCAAGTGTGGGCGGGTCCCCAGACGCTCCTCCCTCTGGCCGCCAGTCTCCCCCAATCCTGCAGTTAGCCGGGCCCAACCGCCCGCCGGCGCCCTTGCTCCCCTCCCACTCCTCAACCATCTCCGTTAGCCTCAGCTTCCCATTGCCCTCCATTTGTGTGCTTCCAGCCTTGGTGTTCTAACACGAAGTGTGACTGCTAATTCTTTTATTTCTTGTACAAATTAACTGTCCTAATTTAGCGCTGGCCAGGCCCTGCTGGGCCTGACCCCCTCTGAGAGCAGTCCTTCCCTCTAGCATTCCTGCAGCTGCCAGCACCCTGTGCTCCAGGTGGTGGGACTGCTGTCACCGGCTCACTCTGCTGTGTCCCACAAGCGGGTATTAAATGGTCACTCTTACTTTGAAGAGAAAACAATATGTCAGTAAAATGAAATGAAAATAACCACAGGTTTTATAGATCTAGAGATAATTTCGTCATCTCTAAATTCCTGACCTCTGCGGTTTAATGACAATGTGAGCACCAAGCAGATCTGTGTGCGTAAGATTTCTCACAGGTGCCTGTGTCTGTTAGTCTACATGTATCTTACTTTCTGTTAACTTTCTGGTTAGTGTGCTCCTGTGGATACGGTTGAGCTCTTTTCCCATTCAAATAAAACCCCCTTAACTTTAAGAAATTCAGCATTTTAGTAGTGTCTCATTTTCCTCCTAAATTAGCTGAGTTGGTCGGGAATATCTTTTGTAAAAGAAAGGTTCATCTTCCTAGCCTCTTAGAAGCACCTGACCTCTGGGGTGCAAGTGCCTGTGAGCACCGGCCAGGGGCCCGCACCGGCCCGCGGGGGGCTGGGAGGACAGACGCGCTCCTGCAGGGTGGGGATCAGCACGCAGGTGTCTTATGTAAAATTATCACAGAGACAAAGGTAGACTGAGCCCCAAGTGTCTGCCCCTGCCCCCAGAGAAATGTGCTGGTGCCCTCCTCTCCTACCCGGATTTCCTTTTGAATCGACTCTCTCCTGCTAGTGTCTTCCGTTGACATCTGTTTAATATCTGACCAGCATAAAGATGTGGGGAGGTGGCTGGAGGAAGGCGTGAATAAGAAGACACATATACCCACGCAAAAAGGATTCTGCTGATTCTCAGAGTAGTTCCCTTGGACTTGAGCAGGGAGAATAGTGGGGAATGGTGGTTTTAGATGATGGAACTCATTTCGGCTAGGATTTGTCTTCCCAGTTAATTGAAATATCAACAGTTGGTGACCCCCAACAGGTGTTCATTTGATCACTTGCATTTTGATTTCCAGTGCTGCCGAGTTTAATAGACAGACTGGGAGACGCTAAGGACTCCGTGCGGGAGCAAGACCAGACTCTGCTGCTAAAGATCATGGATCAAGCTGCTAACCCCCAGGTAGGACGCTCGGTGCTCCCTTACATCGGGGGTTACTCCACACAGAAAGACGATTTATTTTAATCAGGTATTTCAGATGGAAATTTTCATAGTTCCCCCCACCCCATATTTGAAGAAATAATAAATAGCAAAGCATGTATTTTGACTAAATTAGTGGACTTAACATGAGATTTGAGTGCTTGATTTAATCCATAAACTTGAGCTCATCTATATAACTGATCCTGTATTTCTTTGAAAAGAGCAGTTATGATGTCTGGGTGTTAGGAGGCCTGGCGGGTCTGTCTGCTAATGGGCTGGGGCTGCTGGCACCAGACACAGACCTGCCTTCAGGGTCCTGCTGCACATTGCTGGGGAAGGGGCATGTTATCAGAAAAGTTCTAGGGAAGGCGAGAACTAGACCGGCCTTCACAGATGAGCAGGTGGCGGGCTGTGGGGTGGAGAGGCTGGTCCAGGCAGGAGAGCAGTGTGAGTGCATCATCTTCGAAGCCACCTGACCTTTCTCGGCCTCCCTTTCCTCACTCTTGAAATAGGGACAGCCATACCTCCTTTTGGGGTCGTTGGGAGAATGAAATACCATCATATGAAGAAATGTGTTCGGAAGAAATTTAACTTGATAAACAAGTAGTCACCACTTTTCAGTGTGCTCGACTTCAGATAACTAAATGGGTGGTCGTGGCCGGAACCGATTGGCACCTGTTGAGAGTCCCTCTTTCCTGGGCCCCGTGTTAAAGCAGAGGCTGAGGAGCCTCACCCCCTTCTCACCTGTCCTTTGCCGCCTGCAGTACGTGTGGGACCGGATGCTGGGAGGCTTCAAGCACAAGAACTTCCGGACTCGGGAGGGCACGTGTGTCTGCCTCATTGCCACCCTCAATGCGTAAGTCTGGTCGGGGTCTGAGGGTTTTCTTGGCTGAACTTTTTCATTAACGTTTTATTTTGAAAGAAGCTGTAGAGGAATGTATTGGGAATATAATGCAAACCCCCTCTCCCTCTTCCCCCAGGGTTATCATCTTGCCTGTGCAATGACGACACAGGAAGTTAATATTGATATGGAGCTTATTCACATTTCTCCAGTCACACACATGTGAGTGCAGTTCTGCACAGTTCTGTCACGTGTGTAGTTCCATGTGACTATCACCACTGTCAGGGTACGAACCTGTGTGTCACCCCAGGCTCCCTCACGTTGCCTCTTTGTAGTTAGTCCCTAACCGCTGGCAGCCACTAGTCTCTTCTCCACCTTATGGCTTTATTCCAATAATGTCATGTAGATGGAGTCATACACAGTGTAACCCTTTGAGACTGGCTTTCATTCCACTTGAGGTTGAATATATGTTGCGTAAACAATAGTTCATTTCTTTTTATTGCTGAGTAGAATTCCATGGCATAGACTCTCAGGATTTGTTTAACCACTCAGCTGTTGAAGGACTTTTGACTCATTCCCAGTTTTTGCTATTACAAAGAAAGCTGCTATGAACACTTCACAAAGTTTGTTTCAGCATCAGCTTTCGTTTCTCTTGGGTCAGTGCTCAAGAGTGCAATGGCTGAGCACTTGGTAAGTTTGTTTTTAGTTTTTTTAAACAACTTTCTCCCCTTTGCACGACCGACGTTGTCCCCAAAGGGCGCCCCACTCCCCAGAGTGCTGCAGTACCAGGCGGGTGCGAGGTGTGGAGGAGCGAGCTCCTAGGCCATCTCTGCTCCAAAAACCCACTCAGTACGCTGTCCTCAGACAGAAGCCGTGTCCGGTGTTAAACTGAAGGCTGAGTGATCATTTTTAGTTTTAAAGAAACTGCCAAACCGTTTTCCTGAGTTGTCTGTACCAGTTTACATTCCCACCAGCAGTGTGTAAATGAATCAATTCATCACATCCCTGCTAGCATCGAATGTTATCACTATTTTAATTGTAGCCATTTTGATATGTGTGTGGTGATATCTCATGGTGTGAATTTGTATTTACTTAATGACTGGTAATGTGAGTATTTTTCATGTGCTTATTTGTAGGAAAGGCTTTTTTAAAATTGAAATTAAAATTACAAATCAGCTTTTCTGATTGTTACAGAAAATTTAAATAAAGAAGAAAATGATGATTACCCATAATTCTAGCACCTTCAGATAATCAGTGTTAAATGTGGTGCATTTTATTCCAGCCTCTACAGTTAAATTATGCTTCAAAGCAAAATTGGGATTATGACATTTTTGTCACCATGTAAATTTCCCCCCGCCTAAGTTGTTAGCCTTTTAGTGCCATTCCATTTGGCCATATGTATTGGAAACGTTTAAACAGTGTTTCTAGCCATTGATCGTAATAGTTTCACATCTGAGAGTTTATGCTGAGGAAGCCCCCAGATCGCCGGAGATGGCCGTGTTCACAGAGGATGTCTGTGCCGGGGCGTGCGAGGTGGGCTCGCATCCTCTGCAGCCACTCATCCGTCTCATCCAGCTCTTCTCACCTGAGTGCCAGCTGTAGCATCAAGCTGGGCACAGTTCGGTGAGGTGTGCCGGCTGGGCAGAGAGGAACCATCACATGACAGAACAGTAATGTAGACACAGCCCTGTGAGAGGCGAGCGCTGGGAAAGGCTGGGGCCAGGCGGAGAGAGCCGAGTGCCAGGGCGAGAATACGGCCGTGAGAGGCACTCACGGTTCTGAACTCAGTGCCAAGGGGCGCCACACACCTTTATTTTGGATCCAGATGGGAGAGGGGGAGAAGACGGCAGATGAGAGCCTGGTGTGAGGGGCGGTAGGCCCGGGCACGGAGGGGACGGGTGAGTGCCGGCAGAGGCTTCTGCTGTTTCTTTCTCCCCAGTGATAAACACTCCTTTCGTTTTCAGTTCTGGAGCACACACTTTGACACTAAACAAGATTGTGCCACATATATGTAATTTACTTGGAGATCCAAACAGCCAGGTGAGTGTTTTCCATGGGAATGGTCATTGGTTAGACAGCTAACGTGCATGTTGGTGTTCCCTGTGTACGTGATGGGTGGGTGGGACTCTCTTCATCTTCATAGAACTCTGATTGTTGTGTGAGATAATGAGCCATAATGTTTACAAGATGCCACTGGTAAATGTGTCTGCTCTGCCCTCTTTCCCCGGGGGCTGAGACTTCATGAGCCCGGAAAGGATGTCCTCCAGCCCAGCCTCCAGGATCCCGGCACTCTGGCTCCGGCTCTACGGCCGGAAGGGGTGGGCCTCGGGGAGGATGCCCAACGCGGATTGGAGGCGAACACTGCCTGTGGGAGGGGATTGACTGGAAATGCGAGGGGACTTCTCCAGGCCTGGATCCATGGTTCATGGTTTGCTTTGGGTAGTGGCCATATTGGTGTGTACACCTGTGAAAATGCCTTGAACCCTGACAGCTGTAGCTATTTTATATACATTTTACCTAAATTAAAAAACAAAACAAAACATGAAAACGAGGCCCCAGACCTGAGCTGAAGGAGGGCGGGAGGGGTAACCTGTGGCCGGTGCCGCCTCCCCAGGCTGGCAGGTCTGGGCTCCTGCAGGTCTCGCTGGGCCGCCCGTCCACTGCCCAGTCCTCTGGTCCGTATCCGCTCGTGCAGGCTGCTAAGAAAACATTTCAGAATTGAAAATAGGAAAACAGGAACACAAACTTACCAAGGATATATTTGTACAATAAACAGACCTTCATTTTATTTATATTTAAAAAAAAAATTTGTTTATTTATTTGAGAGAGGGAGGAAAAGAAGAGAGAGGTTTGTCATTCCACTTATTTCTGCATTCACTGGTTGATTCTTTATGTGCCCTGACTGGGGAGTCGAACCTGCAACCTTGGCATAGGGGGATGATGCTCTGACCAAGTGAACTCCCAGCTGGGGCCCAACAGGCCTTCGTTTATGATTGCAAAGCCCCTCCAGAGAGCCTACGCTGCACTTTCCCGCTTCCACAGCTCCTGGGACCCTCCCGTTCATTGTCTTCCCCTTTCTTTCTTCTCAGCCCTGAACCCCAGTTGCATTTTCGCACCCTCTCGCCTGCTGCTCTGCCACCTTTCTTTCCGGCCTGGTGTCTTGGCTCGCTGCCCCGCTGTGTGGTCTCCCCGGCTGGCGCCTACTTCTCTCCACTCAGCTCTTACCCAGCCTCAGTGAAAATAGTTAAAATCCAAATACAATTGTTAGATATTTTTATTTATGGGATCATACTGCATGTTTAGCATTAAGTTAAAAATTCTAAGTTATCAAATGAGTGTTTTGTTTTCTGTGGAAAAGGCCTTCGCAGAGGCCGCACTTGGAGGGCCCTGCTGCGGTGCCCCCTGGTGGAGCAGAAAGCCACTGGCTCGTTGAACTTGTCCCTAATGCAGTGGCTTCCTCAGCCACGTGACGTGAATAGTCCCGCTGGGCCCGCGGGAGATGGACGTTTCTGGTAAATGAGGCTGTGCTCCCTGGGCAGCTGTTAGCGTCCGGCAGAGTCAGCGTTCCAGACTGAGTGCTCAGGGCCATGTGCTCACACCTGCCCCCGGGGGTTTGGGCTGCATGTACCAGTGCGCAAGCGCAGAAGCACACGCGGCGCGTCCCCAGCACCCCTGCCAGGAAACTTCCCAGCCGCTCCTCTGATCCTGTCCACATGGCCATGCCTCCTCCACCTGAGGCGCTTTCTTCCATTGGTTTTCTCAGAGTGAAAGTGGGGGAGAGACACAGAGGGAGACACCAATGTGAGAGGGACACATCGGTTGGTTGCCTCCCACACGCACTTGGATCAGACACCAGACATTGAGCCCACCACGTGCCCTTGACCGGAATGGACCCGAAGACCCCCTGGGCTTGGCCGATGCTCTAACCATTGAGCAACCGGCTAGGGCCTGCCTTTAACTTTTTCTTTAGTCTTTCCTGCTAGTCTCTGGCCCTTGAGGGTCAGGACTGTAACTCCTCCTCTTCCTTGTCCCAGGACTGCCTTCCAGGAGTGTGAGGGCTCAGGAGACACCCACAGCTGTGTGGGTGACTTGTCCTTCTCAGCTGTTGTCTCCGGCCAGAGGACAGTGGTGTCTGGGGAGTGCTGCCCTGGGCTCCGGGCCTCCAGCTCTCCCCCGGGGTTCCTGGCTCTGCAGGAGGCCGCTGACACTGGTGTGGACTCTGGATACCCCTCCCTTAGAGGCCGCGAGCTTGTCTGGGTGTTGGTGTGAGGGCAGAGTGACTCGCAGGGGGAAGCCCTCAGGAGCTCCTCGGAGTGGCCGCAGGTAGATGTGGAGTGTTGCTTAGGATGCTTTTGGCTCCAAGTATCATTTCAACTCAACATGGCTGGAGCGGCGGGGAGAACGCATTGTCCTGCATATTGAGGAGGGCCTAGGGTTTGTAGGTGAACAGTTATTTCCCAGAGACCGGCTCAGTCCTCTGGCTCTGTCCTTTGCAGCTGTCCCCACGGCCACAGCCAGGCCCCGCCCAGGCCCCGCCCAGTGCCTGCACGCTCTGCCCGCCTGGTTGACGGAAGCTTGGTGCTTCCTGTGTGCCTCCTGCTTTAGCTCTCCTGTACCGAAAGCTGCCAGCTGCACGGACACACTGAGAATGAGTGCCTTTCAGGTGCTTCTGCCGCTGATGAGACAGGGCCAGTTTAGTTCCATCTGTGTTTCCTTCCCCAGCCAGTATTTTGAAGCAAATCTTAGCATTTCATTTAATTCTTAAAAAAAAATGTTTTTATTGATTTCATAGAGGAAGGAGAGGGGCAGAGAGGTAGAAACATCAATAATAAGAGAGAATCATTGATTGGCCACTTCCTTCACACCCTCTACTGGCATGTGCCCTGATCAGGAATTCAAACGTGACCTCCTGGTTTATAGGTTGATGCTCAACCACTGAGCCACACGTGTCGTGCTCATTTAATTCTTAAATATGTAAGAGATAAGATTCTTTTCAAACATAACAATACTGTATTCCCTCCTGTTCACCAGGAACGACTGGTTCTCATGTTACCATGTGCCCGTCAGCGACCCCTTTCCCTCAGTGTCGTGTGTTTTTGGTGTGTCCTGCATTTCTCTTTGCAAGGGCGAAGACACAGCTCCTGAGTTCCCTGCAGTCCCTCACCCCTCAGGTTTCCTGTGGAGAACCCCATCCCTTCCCTGGGTTACACTGAGATTTTACCTCCTGAGCTGAGGGCAGTTTGACAGGGGCTCCGTCAAAGGCAGCGTGCTGATGTCACACACCATAGGAAGTCTGTTCTGGATAAGGACTTCAATGCACATCTCTGAGTGTCTGAGGACTGTTGGTCTCAGCACTCCCTGCGGCCAGACCTGGACTGTGCCGCGAGTGCTCTCGAGGCCCCACGCAGTCTGCGGGGTGTGTGTGTGTGTGTGTGTGTGTGTGTGGCATCCGTTCTCCCAGGCAGGCTGGCTGGGCTGGGCTGTTTGCTCAGGCGAGGGTAGGTGTGCTTCCCATCAGCTTACCGCACCCTTCCTTTCTCTGGAGCTGAAGCCCTCCCTGTAAGACTCACAGGTTCTCTGTTTTGACACCCTCAGTGGAAGGCAGTGTTCTAAGGCACATGTGTCAAACACAAGGCCCGCGGGCCAAATCCGTCCGAGGGAGAAGGATGTGGGCCTGCACTCAAGCGGCAGCCAGCCCCCACCCTGCCGTCACCTGCTGTGGGCCCAGCCGGTGCCTGGCCTCACCGCCCCAAACCCGGTCCACAGAGGCCTTGTGAGGATGGCTGCAGAGGCAAAGACCTCCGATTCTGTAAAGCATTCAACTCGGGCCCGGCAGGTAGTGCTGAACATGTGGGGCTCTTGTCTTGTGCGGTCCCACTGGCCTGAAATGTTAGGGCTCCTTCTTGTGGTGAGTTTGAGGTGGACAGAAATACACTTTTTTCTGAACATTTGAAAGTGTCTTATAGACATTTTATTAGTCCTCATGCTTTATACTGTGCATCTCCTAACAACAGGACATTTTCTTATATAAGCACTAGTGACCTGGTACACGGATTTGTGCACATTGAAAGGAAATTAATTAGAAGAAATATTTTAATATCACTATTCGCCCTTTCTCTATAATAAAAGAGTCAACCAAATTCACGATCGATAGTGACACACGTGTGATTGGTGCCAGCGAGAGCTTTGTACGTAGCACACATGTACGAGTCAACTTAGCCTTTTATAGACATAGAATAAACTTGCTTAATTAGACCTGCTTTCTGATGTAGCTATACTTTTTCCAGCCCAGTGAAGCATCCCAGCTTCTCTTTAAGATAATTGTCAGCAACACAGCAGTAACTATCAACATGAATCAGATTATTATTGTAGATTACGCAGGGAACACAAAGGGTAAAATATTTAACTGCAGCAGTGTTTGACTATATTCTGCACAGAGAGAAAACCTGAAGTTATTTTCAAAGTCCACCATTTCTTCTTTTCAGTCAGGTCAACTTTCTAAGCTTTCCAAATCTCCATTTTCCTGCTAATGAAAAGAAAATACGATTCCACTGAGTCTCCTTTCTACCTACTCCTGTGACTATCAAAGGACTTCTGTGAGGATCAGATGAGATGGAGGCATGGGAAAACGCTTCACAGACATTTAAAGTGTGAAATGTTTGCACCTGGCTATAAAGCAAGTTGTGTTCCTGGGCTGAAGAAACTGCAAGGAGGCTAGGCGCTGCCAGGAGAGGAAGCCGGTGTTGCTATGTGACGTTATTACCTGGCACCACAGTGGCTGTTTCTGGGCTGGGCTGGGCTGGGGTGTGGGCTGCACTTTGCGCCGTGGGTTCTCCGCAGTGTTGGCTGTGATGTGATGGGCTGTTGCTGCAGAGTGGTGGCAGGGCCTGTCTCGCTTGGGAGAAGCTGAGTGTTGCTTTGTGGGTGCCAGGTCTGTGGTGCCATTTCTCTGTGCACATCATGGCAACTCCTGTGTTGAGTGCCTACCCTTGGTGGTCAGTGCATGTTATAGCAACCTGTCAGACCCTTGGACACTTAGCACATTAGCCTTTTATATATATAGATAACTCATTTTCACATTCAAAAAATTTAACATTGATGTAATGGTAATGTGTGATAGTTCATACTTGAGTTTCCCTAGTTTCTTTTTTTTAATTTCATTCTGACCTTTAGCCTTATTTATTGCTGCCTCCTTCATTCATAGTCGTGTTTGCCCTGGCTGCTTACTTGTTCTTCCCAAGGCTCACACCCTGCACTCTTACTTCTAGGCCCTTGTGCAGGCTGCGCCTCGCTTGGCAGCTGCCTCATTGGTCCTTTCCTGGTAAAATGCACATCCAGGCACATTTCAGGGGTTCCTTCCTCTCCCAGAAAACATTCTTGGTGTCCTGTGGTGTGCTGTTCCCTCCCTAACCCCCCCGCTCTTTATACTCCTGTATAAGATGCTTTTTATGACAGCCTCTCCGGTGTTCAATGTAGAATATATGGAATTTTCCCCATTTCCTTTCTAGAACCATGTTTTTCCCATTTTTAATTTATGAGCTTCTTGAGTACAGGGCTGTGCTGCCCATTTTCCTTACTCACTAAGTGTTTGACCCAAATCCAGGGTAGTTTACATGGTGTTTTATTGTCAGTGTAATTTATTTATTTGTATTATTTTCTAATTTGGAAAGATAACCTGAAATTTTTAGTTTTCTGACATCATCTTAAAGAATGAAGAAAACTAAGGGATATGGACTGGAATGTGTACATAGGGATAGGACCTAACCTTTTTCTACTCTTTGGGATTGTACCTGCAGAGTCAAAACTGTTAACCATGGCTTCATCTGGTCAAATATCTAGAAAGGGTTGTACACACAGTTGCACTGGTAAAATGGCGATGAACTTGGGGCGGTGTGTAGCCTGCTGTGTCCCAGCAGGAAGTGCTGTGGGATGACACTGAGAGCTGTAAGATCTCTTCTTTTACATCTAGGTTCGAGATGCAGCAATAAGCAGCTTAGTGGAAATTTACAGACACGTAGGAGAACGTGTGAGGGCAGACCTCAGTAAAAAAGGATTGCCACAGTCCCGGTGAGTTCAGACTTTTTTTCCCCCCTTCTGCTCTTTGCCTTACTCCTTTTCAATTAACATTTTGGTTTGCACTATTTCTTTTGTTGTGATAATTTTTTCATAGAATATATGTTTAGTGGATTGGCGATGGGATATCTTGTCCTGATCGTATGTCAGGGGTCCCTTCCCATTCCAATTCCTCAAAAGTCAGAAAGACTCTCTCACCAAGACAACTATGTAGCCAAGCCCCAGGCCGTCCTCTGATTTTAGAAGCATATTGAAAATTGTTGGATTTTGAAAATTCACTGTTCTTTTGGTTCAGGTGGTTCTATATATTATATACACATAGCGCCTAGTTATAGTATGTGCTTAGAATATATTTGAGTGATTGGAGCTTTTCTAAGAATGAGTTTGGTTTGGAAAGCATCTTTGAAATGGTAGTTTTCTGTTCAGTGATGCCAGCCTCACCACGAAGTAGCCGGGGGTCAGCGTCTTATCAGACCCAAGGCCACTTGAGTGCACAAGTGTCTCTGCTGTGTCCGAATCTAAAAGTTAATGGAGAACTGGATGTTCATAGTTTGAACCGTGATGCAGAAACCTTGCACCAAATGAATTCCAACCCCCTGCTCTGCCCATTCCTTTAGGGAGAAAGTAATGTGAAAACCCTGGGAGTTAGAGGTGGACTGGACTCACAGAGCAGCTGGACAGAGCCTGTCCTCATGGCCACGGCAGCAGCAGGGGCCCAGAGACATGCAGGAGCTCACCCAGCCGAGGCAGAGCTGGGCCCGAAGCTGTTCTCTGCCCCGCCTTTTCCTTCCTCATCCTGTTTGACACGAGTTTACAGAGCACTTAGACATGGGATGGAATGTTGGGTTATTTAGAGGTCTTGATGTCCCTTAATTGGATATGACAGTGAGCCCCTCTCCCTAAGGTAGGGGTTCCAGGAGAGTGGAGTATACAGCTGAGTGGGTCATATCGGACCCAGTATCGCTCTCACTATGGGCCCTGAGCTGTGCACAAGACCATGGGATGGGCCTGTAACTACTCTTCATGTGTTTTACAAAGGTAATGCCTGAGAATAGAGTTTTCACGCCCATGGTTTTATTAACCTCAGCCTTCTGGATTTTGAATGAATGATGGTGAGAGCAAAAGTTAAAGACAAAACTATTGAACAATCTCTTGGGCAACATTGGAGGGAGGGCACAGATGAACAGGCAGAGCAGGGGCTGGAAGGCAAGGGCTGTTTGATGATGTCATGGTCATTGTTGGGAAAACAGCCTTAGGCAGTGAGACTCTTGCTGCTCCAGTATGGTTCACCATGCTCCGCAGCTCACAGGGGCCGGGGCCCTGACCGGACTGGCAGTGTACACAGCGGTCCCTGGGTGACGCTGGAAGGTGGCTGCAGTGGGATCTGGAGGTGGGCGCAGGAGGGAGCCCCACAGGCTGGACGGCTGTCCGGAGATGCCTGCTTGCAGAGGCGGCCCTGGGCTCTCTGGAAACTTGTATTTGGGGAGGGTTCGCAGTGTCCCCAAAGAGTGAGATAAGAGTGGCTCAGTGTGCCCCGCGGTGCAGGCCTTCGCTGAGCCCTGCTTTCCTTCAGGGGGTCTGACCCCTTGGGGAGTCCTGGGCGGAGGGTTCTGTGTGACTAGCCCCAGTAAAACCTCCAGCCCTGAGGCTGAGGAGCAGCCCGCCTTTCCCAGGCTGTCCCCACCCGTTGCTGGGAGATGAGCCATGTCCTGTGTGACTTCACCAGTGGCGGCTCTGGGCAGCTTGTGCCCGTGCACCTGCTCCTCCCCCGCGCCCCTTTCCCATCGCTGGCTTTTCTCTGTGTGCTTTTACTATGGTTGTCCTGTAACAATCACAGCCGTGAGGATGACTATAGGGTGAGTTCTGTGATTGCATTAGCAAATGGTTCAATGTGGAAGGGGCCTAGGGGTCCCTCAGCACAGTGTGTTTTAGGGAAGGTCCCAGAGGCAATGGAGGCCACAGCCCCAGACCTGTGTCATGTGTGCTTCCTGCTAACCCTTAAAAAAAAATTTTTTTTTGAGATAGACACGTCAATCAGTTGCCTCTCATACACGTCCCGACTAGGGATCAAACCTGTAACCTGGGTATGTGCCCGACCGGGAATCAAACCCACCACCTTCTGATGTATGAGGCAACACTCCAACCAACTGAGCCACAGCAGCCAGTGCCACATACTTTTAAAAAATATATAAAAAGCTACAGAAGTGCCAAAACCGGTTTGGCTCAGTGGATAGAGCGTCGGCTTGCAGACTGAAGGGTCCCAGGTTAGATTCTCGTCAAGGGCATGTACCTTGGTTGCGAGCACATCCCCAGTGGGGGGTGTACAGGAGGCAGCTGATCGATGATTCTCCCTCATCGATGTTTCTAACTCTCTGTCCCTCTCTCTTCCTCTCTGTAAAAAATCAATAAAATATATTTAATTTAAAAAAAAAAAGCTACAGAAGAGCTGGGCTTCTGTAAATAGGAATGGGGGTTTCTGCTACCTCATGTTATCTAAAAATTTCCCCAAAATTCTGAACCAAATGGAGAAGATAGTCCTGTTGAAATGGACACACACGGTCGCAGCCGTTCTTGTAAATGCACAGTGCTCGGAGGACGAGGCTGGCGGTTCTTTAAAAACGTGCTCCAGTGAAAGAAGCTGAAACCAGGTTTCTTTGGATTTATTGCAAGACAGTTACCTAAGGCCTCCACTGTGAGTGTCAGAGGCTCTGGCTGCCCCTTTATTTTGTGGGGGACGTGTCCAGACGGAAGGAGACTTGGAAAGAATCCTGCTGTTGTTTGGAGAGTCAGCATCTGCTCTGTGCGGCTCAGATGGCTGGCTTGAATACTTGACTATTCTAGACCTCTGTTACATCATTATAGATTTTTTTTGTTATTGTGTGAGCAGAGCAGATTTTTTAGCTTAGCAGGATTCCATAGGGCTAATAAAGTATTGTAGAATTTGCTTAATGCTTCCTAAAACTTGGGTTTTGTCCTAGAATGAAAATGTTGACCACCTATGCGTTTGTTCATTGAGAACTACATTGGAGAAGGTGGTTAACTATAACTCTGAAAAATACGTAATGAAAGAATGACTTCATCCTGTCAGCTGAATAACTTCAATAAGAGCAAACTCATTTGAGCAGCAGTCTTTGTGCATTTCACAGTGGGGAAATGCCTTCACTTTGGAGGAGCTGGAATTATGTGTTTGGGTCACGTGTTAAAAGCTATTTTAGCCTTGCTGTCTGGTGGCTAAAATAAAGCTGAGCTGCAAAATAAAGCAGAGATTTCCAACCAAGTCTTCATGTTAGGTCTCTCCCCGGCAGCGGACCTCAGCATTGCTGAGCTGTGAACTTCAGTTAGGATAGTCAGTGGCCAGTTTACATGGTTTAAAACATTATTTTCACAGTTCATGCACGTGATATGTGCAGAGAGGAAGTACCCAGTTTGTAGCTATTTGTAACATGCCATATAGTTGTGTGGTGTTTGTGTGGCACGCTGGGCAACCCAAGTCTAAGTGGATCCCTGTCACTGCTGCGGCTTACTTTCCTAGACAGGCCACGGCATTCCCTGTCCGTCCTCATGTTGAATATGCCAACAATATTTGCATTCGATGTGGTAGTGAGCTGTGGGTAAAAGACTGCTGTTGTTTGTCTCTGGAGCCATCGTTTGGGAACCAATTGCCTGAAACAGCAACTACTTTAGACCTGAAGATATTTAATTTGCAGAGGGAGCCACCCATGCCACCAGATGTGTTGTGACATGTGGTACACTCACTGCAAACCTCAGTTTTGAAAGGCTCTCATAATCTTTGTTTTGCTATTTCAATCTATTTAGAAATGTACGGACATTTACCAGACATTATTACTTAATGATGGTATAGTTAAGGGAAAATGGAGACTTGCTTGCTGTAAATTTGCTTGCTAAAGCGTTTGTGCTGTGGAGAGGAGAAAAGCCAGGTGAGAGATGTGCTCGGCAGTATCTGCACTCATTTCTGAGTTTTGGTGCTGCCGGTGACGGGTGCCGAGAGCTGAGGAAGTGTATAAGATGGTGAAGAAAGCAGTTCTGTCCCCTCTGCCATTTTCCTGCAGAGGCAAACGCTGCCGCCTGGTTTCTGGCTGCTGTTGTACCTATTGCTCTGTGTCTGAATGCTGTGCATGTATTGCTAAAACTTTGTTTTTCCTCACGTGAACTTTACTTTGCATCAGGGAGGGTACATTTCAGCTCTTTCTTTGTAACCTCTCTCATGTCTAGCTGCCATGGCCACACCCACCAAATACAGTCATGCTTTAATTTTGGTTAGAACATTTAGTTTATATTATAGTTAAGTATGCCATGACTATTTATATTTGGTAAACTCTGATTACTTTACACCCCCCCCCCCCATCCTTTTGTTTGTCCTGGGTTATTAATCATATTTCTCGTGCGGAGTTGTCCACGCCGTATTCTGCTGGAGTGTGTGGATGTGCCTCGAGCCTGTACCTAGCTGCCGGCTGCCCCTGCCTTCACCGCCTCATGCTCACTGTCCTCCGGCAGCTCTGCCAGCACGCTCGGGCTTCACTTCTCCTTCTCTGCAGAGGCATCTGCTGTTTTGGGGGGGGGCCATGTCGTTTTTCTTCTTGGTTTTCTCTCTTATTTTAGTCATGCATATCCTCGATTCATTAGCTTTCTCAGAAAGGATGTGGAGGAGACTTTCTTTGAGTCTGAGAAGATCTTTATTCTATTTTCATATTGGTAGTTTGTCAGGGTTTAGGTTGAAAGTCATTTTCATCCAGAATGTTAAAACTCATGTCCATGTATTCCAGCTTTTAGTGTTATTTCTACCGAGAAGTCCAAAGTCATTCTGATTCTTCAGTCTATCAAAGTAGATAACTTTGATTTTCCGTGTCTCTAGAGTTTGTCTGAAACTTCATGGAGTCTTGTAGGGACTATTTTCATTGTCCGGAATGCTGGGAGGGCCTTTCAACTTGGAACCTTGTGTTGTTGGATCTGGGCTAGTTACTTTAAAAAAAAAA